GCCAACCCCTTTTGGGTGGACTTTTGCCCACGAGGGGATGGGTCACTTCAGGTGTTTGATTTAGAAGTTATATTCTTTGTCTCCTGTGTTGTATACTCACTGTATTAAAGTCCCTTTCCATTAAAGCTCTTACATCTTGTCTTGGTGTGGCGGATGGCAGCACCTGTTTAGAGCAGGCAGCTTTGGGGGTTCAGTGGTGCCCCTCTCTCCCTGCTCTGTAACAGAAGTATCCTCCAAGGGTCCACTCACCCATCCCCCTTTTCCAGGACTGTAGGTAGAAGTCAGTTGTGATTCTGCTTTTTCTTGCTGTCCTTAAAGATGAGTGCAGGATCTCCATTTGTTTTGTATCATTTACTCCTGGTCAAATAGCGCCCAACTCTGAGCCCTTGAGTGTCATCTGGGAAGGCGTGCTTGGTTGGCGGTATCCTAACGGTGAGTCTAATCTCAATTACTTTGCAATGAGATGCCTTAGGAAAGATCACTTTTGTTCTATAAGATAGCAAAAAACATGGAGGAGTGAAGATAAGAGTGGTAATGTTGGGGGGGCAGGATGTACTGCAGCACAATGGAATCTTAAGCGCTTGTTTGGGTGAGGACCCACAGACAGGCAACCCAGTCCACACTGGGGTGCCCTGTAACAGTAATACCTGCTTTGGGGCTGCTTGTTGGGGAGTGGACATTTCCAGCCTGCTGCAGGGCCCAAGTCCTGCAGTACGCACGTGCCTCATCCCACTCTGGGAAAGTGTCCTAGGGACCTGGCCAGGAGAAGCAGCCAGGGTTTAGGAACAAAGGCTTCTGGAGGCAGAGCCCTCTTACACCTCCCTCTCCACTGCAGCTCTAGGCCTCAGGGACCAGTGCTCCACCCCCATCAGGGCTTGGCAGAGTAAACAAATCAGTGCACTCCCAGCTCCCAGGAAGAGGCAGTTTCTAAAGTGCATGATCTCATAAAGCAATTTAAAACAGTTCATGTTCCATGTCTAATAATTTGAGGGTCCTCCACACAGCTTTCCATGGTGATGTTCAAAGGTGCTGTGGTGGGGGGAGATTTATGGGACTACACCTGAGGAAGAAATCAAATACTGTCCAGAAATGACAACAATGACAAATATTTAAAAATAAATAAAGGAAAAGAAAAAGTTCATGTTAATTTGGGGGGAAGCACATGACAGTTGCTCTCATTCTCCCCCAGCTGTAGCCCTCGGCAAATGCAATTTCCTCCGGGTGGCTCTCCCTGCCCAGACACTTTTGGCTCTGAGACAGAACTGTCTGGATATGGGGGAGTGGGGGGCTCAATCCATGGCTTCAGAGGGGGAGATATGGAAGTTCAGGACCCAGGACGAGGGGCCATGGGCATGTTGGGGGGAGCGGATGTTCTGAATGAGCCCCACATTCAGGACACTGCACTTCACATTGGGGTTGCCCTGTAACATGGGGTTGCTGGAAGTCATAGGCCTGTGGGGCCAGGGATGGAGAAATCTGGTGGGTTCAGCCTAACCCCTTTCCCCTGCTCATGACACTCCTCTTTCCCCCTCCCCGCAGGCCCCAGTAGTTTCCTCCGGCTTGTTTCATGATAATAAATCACCCCTGGCAGTCACTGGACACTCGGTGGACAGCACGACCTTTTGGGGTTCACATTCTCGTGGGGCGTGCGTGTGTGTTGCCTCTGCTTTCTGCTGAGGAGGTGACAGCTTGATGCAAAGTCACAGGCAGTCCCAGACCAGGGCTCTTCACTTCCCCACTGGCCCTCTTCCCCTTTTCTTCAAAGGGCCAGTGTTCAACTGAACCTCCCTTTGCTGCTGCAGAATGCAGGTAAAGGTTTGCTGACGCCTGCCCGACAGGAGACTTAGATGGAGAAGTCACACCACAGAACAGGTTGGTGGGGTGGCCCAGGTGTGCAAATGATTTTAGGCCCTACTGCAGCCTCTGATCCTCCCGCTAGAATTTCTCCACCCCACTCCACCCCCACCCTCTGGCCCTGCCCTACCCCCTCGGGAACTGCACCTCGTTCCCAGAGGAGAGCAATTTGCAGCTCCAATGGCTGGGCTGGAAGCCCGCTCAACCTCCGACCGGACCCTCCCCTCCCGTAGATCCACCCTGCGGGTGAGTTTCTGTGACCTGTCGAGGCTTGCTGAGGCCTCCGGGAGGAGGAATCTCTTAATTCCTGCATGTAAAAAGGCAGCTTCTTTATTTTTAGTGTCTAAAATATATGCTTTACTTTACTAGGTGACACATATTTTATGTGTTAAAAGTCTTAGTTCTCTTGCACCAGTGAGTCCAAACTAAACCTAAATGCTGACATTTCAGTTAGCATAATCGAGTGATCTTGTCAATTCTCATGATTAAACTCAGTGAAACCCTTAATTTACCAAAAAAGATCTGGGGAGCTACTTCACTGGTGGCAAAAATAACAGATTCAAGTGGGAGCCACTTCCATCAAGACTTGATATCCAAGAGCTTTGTAGTTTAGAATTTGGTTAAATTAACTAATGGGACCGGGAACCACCCTGGTGGCCTAGGTCTCATTGTCACCCCACGGCCTGAGTTCAATCTCCAGCAGGGCTGATCCACATGACACAGCACGCCTACCTCACCCACTGCTCCCCTCAGCAGTAGATTTCAGTAGTGCTCCCCACTCTTTCTCCGGTGAATCCTCTCACAACCTGCATCTCTGGTCTACACTCTAGTTTTTCTATGCAAAGATAAAATCGTAAAAAAAAATTAAAAAATAGGGCCTCACTGATGGCACTTGCGTTTAGGTCTCCGCATTATCAGATTATCACCAGTCACTGCAGCCTGAATTCAATCCCGGCCAGGAGCTGACCCACATGGTACAACAGATCTCTCCAGTCTCACCTCCCATACACCCTCAGAAGTGTATTTTAGTTGATCCTCCTGTTCTGCTCCCCACTCTGCACTCTGTCTCTGGTGAATCCTCTCACACACTGCACCCCTGGCCTACAATCCAATTCTTCTATGCAAAAAAGAAAAAAAAAATCATTGCTCTCCAGTGTTTCACAATTTTGTACACGATTTTGGGAAATGTGGACTTGACTACTTACCTGTAAAACCTTCGCCACAATCACCGTCATGAATGGATCTGTCCTCTGAAGACTTTCCTGCTGCCTGGTTGTCATCCCATTCCCCAAACTCCCTTCTCCAGACAAGAACAAATCTGTCTTTTGTCAGCATAAGTTATTTGTATTTTTTGTTTGCTTCCATCCATTTTGTGGCTTGGGGGGACCTGTCTCCGAATGAGTACTTTGAGATTTGTCTATGTCATTGCAACTGCTGATAGTTTGCTCCTTTTCATTGCTGAGTAATAGTCCACTGTATGCACATACTACAAGCAGCTTCTCCACTCGTTTGTTGGTGGCAGTGGGTTAGTGCTAGTTTTGATGAAGTCACATATACATACGGAGGTGTGGAGTGGCTGGACCATAGGGTAGATGTACATCAGACTTCCTGAGAAACTCCCACCTTGTTTTCCAAAGTGGTAGCAGCATTTCTCGTGCCCACTGGCAGTGGATGTTGGCCCAGCGACTGTGCATCCTCACAGACATGTGGTGTGCTAGGTCTTCAAATTGAGCCACAGTCAGCGGTGTGTGTTACCTTGTTTGGTCTTTGACTTATATTTTGAGGTAACTCATGATGCTGAGTATCTTCTTGTGTATCTTTTTGATATGCATGTCTTCTTCGGTGAAGTATCCATTCAAATCACTTGTCCTTGGTTGTGGCTGGGCTATTTCTTATTGAGTTTTGAGACCTCTTTATATATTTTTGTATTAGACCTCGATCAGGGCCCTTCCTGGTAACCAATGGGTTAAAGCACAGCACTACAAGTGAACTGCAGCTGCCTCAGTGCAAGTTCACCAGCCCAGCAAGATCACCAGCCCAGGTGATCCAGCGGGATGGCAGGTCTCTCCTGGCCCACCCATGCTCCCCTCAGCAGTGTTCTCCGTGGTCTGCCTGTTCTGCTCCCCACTCTGTCTCTGGTGACTCCTCTCACCGCCCCTGCACCTCTGGCCTGTATACCCCAACTTTGTATGCATAAATAAATAAATCTTTAAACAAAAAGACCTTTATCAGATGTGTGATTTGCCAGCATTTTACCCCAGTTTGTCCCTTCTCTTTGCCTTCTTCTAATAGTATCTTTCAAGAGTATAGTTTGGCAGAGACTACTTAATCTCCGTTGTAGCAGATCTCTTCTCCCTTCTTTCAGACCAGACGCCTTTGCTACAAACATCTTCCACTAAGTCCTCAGTTGGGCGAAGAAGCATACAAGCTTGATTTTTGTCTTTGAATTTATTGGAGTGGAGTTACTGAAGCTAAACTGTGTGTCATGTTTGGTGCTGTTCAATCCAGACACATCAGTTGATTCAGACATCTGGAACAAAATGGGTCCTGGCAATCAAAGTATGTTTTACTCAGTGAACATGGATTAAAGCAAACTGAGGGAAGAATTTTTCTTTTCTTTTTTTTAACCTTTACTTATTTTTGCGTAGAACTGGGGTATAGGCCAGAGGTGCAGGGGGTGAGCAGGCTCACCAGAGACAGAGTGGGGAGCAGAACAGGTGGATTTTCTGAAATCCACTGGAGAGGGCTGTTGTGCCCTGTGGGTCAGCTCCCTGGCTAGGGATCAGACTCAGGCAGTAGAGGTAATAGAGCTGAAACTTAACTCCTAGGCCACCAAGGAGGCCTCCCATTTTTTTTTTAAATGATGGCCTATAATGCTAATTATTTTTGATTGTCTCGTTTAAGAAAGCCTTACCTTTCCCAGATTTTATACACACATTCTGTATTTTCTCCTAAAAATTTTGTTTTGCCTTCTACTTTCAGGTTGTTAAACCACCTTGAGTTGCTTTTTCTGTGTAGTGTGAGGTAGGGTTAGCTTTTGTACTACATCGTGGTTTTGGTTTTCTCTCTTTAATGTCTTGAGCTACTTGCCTTGTAAACTAATTGGTATTAAGATTCTATAATAATGAAGCAAAACAAAGTATCAACCCCACAGTTTTATTTGTAAAGAACAAAGCATGAAAAGTCATATTTAAATGTACTTCAAAACCTGAAAAACCCAGGTGAGTTTCTCTGATATGTATGTTAAAGTGCTGGGTATCACAATACTCTTTACATTTTATATTATGTTCAGATGAGGAAAAGAAAATCCAGTTATGGTGCATTTTGTTAACAATACAAAGAAAAACAATATAATTTAAGTGCAGAAATACTCATTTGGAAAAAAAAAAGATACACAGGACACATTTCTACATGGCTCAGGCGTGACACAGAGGAGTTTTTCTGTATATCGAACACCCTTATTGGCTTGACAACAGAAACACCTTCCCATACCGCTCTACTGCGAACAGCTGTGGTACTGGGAATAAGGGCAGGACCCACACGCACACATTAAGTAAATGGACCAGCTGTGATTCCTGCCCCATAACCCAAGGATACCCTGGATTCCTCCAAACGAGAATACATTTTGTGATTTTTTTTCACTCTGGTTAATAATTGTCCAGTATTTTCTCTCTGAAGCTCATCAGAATGTATCCTTGCAAGGATAGTCAGCTTCAGTAAGTCTTCTCATCACACCCATCAGCCTCCTCTTCCAAAACCTTGGGCATTAGCTTATGAGATTCATAATACATTTTAGTAGAAAGAAGGGACCCTACCTCATTAGCTGTTTTTCTTTTTTTTTTTTTATATATTAAATGAACGAAATACTCATAGAAGAAACAAATACTCATAGACTTCAAAAGACCTGGTTGATTGGGAGACAGGGTGCACTTTATAAAAGTAGAGAAAAGCTCAAGCCTCCATTCTCAAGTAGTGAAGGTGTGTTAACACTGAAAGAGAAGCAGCTGTGCTTCAGACAGCCCCTCGCAAGGTGAGGATAGACTAGTTTCTGTAAACCTTACAGAGAAAATACTCACAGTTCTCTAAGTGAAAGTCACAATTTCTTAGAAGTTATTTCATCAAGAAGAGGGACACTCAAAGCTGGTCTTGGCCTGTGGCCACACGTTTCCAAATGTCTTAAAGGTGTCAGCACAGGCTCACGGAGCTGGGAGGGACGGTCTTTCCCCCTTTCCACTCCCACTTATAACCGGGCTTTATTGCCAAAAAAGGAAACAGGCTGTCCAGTGCCAATATCATCCAGACCATCATAGTGTGACAACTTCATTAAAATAATTTAAAACAACAACAACAATCTACTTTAAAGTAAACACCACAGAGTCACAAAAGGGACAAAAACATGAAACATTTTAGAGGGAAATGGTAAACTTTTGTTTGGGGTTTCTGTATGAACTCTGGCTGGGCAGAGGAGGTGGGCAGGGCTTGGAGCTCCCCCACCTCGAGCCCCTCCTGTCTAGGTCACCCTGGGATGTGTGGCCTCCAGCGCTGGTGTGCCGGCCCCGCCTTAGGTCTGCACAGCAATGCCAGTGCCCGTATCACCACAGAGTACAGCCAAAGAGGCCTCCAGACACTGGGAAAACTCAAGAGGTGATGTTCGTGGCAATTTAACTTTAAAACTACTTCATACACTACTAATACTAGTAATGATTCTAAGCATTACTTTTAGTTTGTTGGCGGGGGGCGGGGGGCGGAGGGGAGTTAATGAAAATGGACTTTTATTTACTTTCATCTTGAGGCTTGCCCATAGAGCCAGATGCTAATTTGGAAAGTTGGCAGGGCAGAGAGGCCTGGTGTGTGGTCATCCTAAGCCAGCTTCCCTGGAGGGCTGCCGGGTACTTTTTCTCCAAGGATTCGGCTGCTGCCCTCAAAACATGTGGGCCCTGGTCAGACAGAACAGGCCTGAGTCCTATTTTTTTAATAATGATGTCTCAGGTGAGCCCGGATGTAGCTTATGCTACATCCTTTTCACTCATCAGCTTGGCTCCCATGGGCTCTTCTTGTTTATGAGTGCTAAGTGTCTTCTGAAAAGCCAAGATTTGCCCCCACCAGGACCAGGTAGGGGGGGCCAGTGGCACCCTCAGGAACCTGGATCCCCAGAAGCATCTGGCCTGTCCTGGCTGTCAGTGCCTGTGAGTTTCTTTTGAAATCAGTCTCTCGCTATGCAAAGTGGAGCAAAATGGGAGTTTTAACGGGGTGGGGTGAGGGGGGGAGGTGTATTATTTTTTAAAGTAATAGTTTTATCTACAGGCTCCCAAATCCAATCTTGCTTTCAGTTTTCACAAGTGATACTCTTTCTCAACCATTGGGGGAACAATGTGTTCAAATGAATATTAATGCTTATGCACGATTATCATAGAGAGTGCTGGTTCTTGTTTCCTAGCTGTGTAGCCGAGTGAATCAAGATCCAAGAGTACAAATACTTACTACTGATACGAGTGTCCTGGAGGCTGGCCTCACGTAGCCTGGTGTAACTGAAAGACACAAGTTAGATCTGCATGGTGACTGGCCAGCTGTGGGGCAGCACTGAGTCTCTCTGGTTCTGATGTGTTCCCACCCACGAGACGAGGAGGCTGTGACAGTCCTCTGCTGGGCTGCCCAGCTTTTCAGGAGCAGGGCCAAGACCCTCCCTCATTGCCTTTCCCTCAATACAGCTCTTCTTCCCAAGCCCCTGGCCACCTGGGGAGGCGTTGTCTGGCAGCAGCCCTGGCTGAGGTGACCAGCTGCCATGGCATCTGTGGGACTTCCTGAGAAAACGCCCAGCTGCAGCCACTCACAGCCCTTGCTCTCTTCAACTGTGGCTCTGCTTTCGCTTCCATTTTCCAAGACTGTGCCCTTGGGGGCTTCAGGGCAGCTGCTCGATACCAACACCCAGGCTTGCTCATGGAGGAGCCTAAGTCTGGCCCTGAAACCCCACGAGGGGCTGGTTCTTTCTTCCCCTCCTGTTATATGCATTTTGAGAGTCAACAAAAAGTTTCCGAGACATTCTTGGGGGGAATGTCTGGGGGGACAGGCAGGGGGTCGGGGAGGGACACCTATGCTGGATGATCCAGCTCTCCTGGGGGGGCCGCAGGCAGGCTCCAGACGGGAGGGTGGTGAAGGAAAGGGCTGGATACTATTGCTGTTTGTGGTCCTTAGGACGACGAGGCCAACACTATGAAACTTGCATCTCCCCAAAGTACCTCAAATAACAAGAGTAAAAATGCCAAGAATGAAGTGAGTCCGGGCTAATCTTCCACAGTGTAAAGAAGTTATAATCCCACCACAGAACACACTCTTGGCGCTCTGTGTGTTCTCTTGCCAGTTCTTCAGCCAAGCTCCTTGGGGTCAGGACTCAAATATCTGAATTACAGCTTCATCTTGTGGATGGAAGTTTTTTCCCAGAAGTCTGGAGAAGTGACTCAATTCAAATGTATGAAGTAATTTATAACTTAAAAGACACCAGCGAGGACTCCAGCTCGCTTGTAGGTGACACCATTTACATTCACAGTCAGAGGCATGGAAGCTGCTGGCCCACTGTGTCCACAGGTTTCCTGGCTTGTTCCTGACTAGCTCAGCTCTGCCCCCACCCCCAGCTCCCTACGCTTTTAAGCTACTAATTTTAAGTCACAGGAATATTCCATCTAAGAAAAGTATCTTATTAGAGTAATATAATTTCTTCAAGAAGAGAGCATATTTACACACATCTACCACATGAAAATACTCTATTTTATACTAAATTCCGGGTTCAAATGAACTACAATGCAGTGTTTTGCCTTGTCTGCAGCGCGAGGGCTGTTCTGGTGGGGGCCGCTCCTCAAGGGGCTCACAAGATGCTCAGTCGGCGCCTTCGAGGGGGAGGCTTGGGAACCAGGGTCTGGACGGGGGTCCGAGCCAAGGGGTCACACGTCCACGCCTTTGATGAGGGACCCTTCCAGGACGATGGGGAAGTCCTGAATGGTCTGCAGGACACGGATGAGAGAGTTGACGGTCATGCGGTCCCGCAGCAGGGCGCTCTCCTCGTACATGCGGGCGATGGCGGGACATTCGGCCAGCAGCGGGATCCACTGGGGGAGCAGGTGGTCCCTGTGGGAGGACACAAGGGCTGAGTACGGCGGCCCTTGCGGGAGCCGGGAGGACTGAAGGAACATAGGGGGAGAATCCAGCCAGGCTCCCGGGTGAGGAGAGCAGGAGGCAAAGCCAGCAAGCTGGGCTTTCACTGGTTAAAAAGACACAGCGAAGAGACAAGGAAGCTAAAGGAAAAACCCACTGGTTCTAGAAGTGGGTCTGGCCACCACCTGGAGACATTCTCTATTCCAATGTCACCTCTTTCAAAAAGTGGCAGAATGCCATCTTGTATCTTTTTCTTATGTGGCGTTACTAAGACTTTCCCTGCAAGCTATGCCAAAAGATGGACCTTTGGGGAAGAAAGACGACATACAAAGGTAGAGATCATCGTTCTTTTTTTTTTTTTTTTTTAATGACTTAGTTTTACTTATCTATGCATACAAGAACTGGTGTGTAGGCCAGAGTTGCAGGGGGGTGAGAGGATTCACCAGGGACAGAGTGCGGAGCAGAAACAGGATCCCCTGAAATACACTGCTGACAGGGAGCAGTGTGTGAGGCAGGAGAGTCTGTGCACCCTATGGGTCAGCTTCTGGCCAGGGATGGAACTCAGGCTGCAGTGGCTGGAGATGCTTGATAGCACTGAGACCTAACCCCAGTGCCACCGGGAGGCCCTGTTCCTCTGTTCTGATTTTTAAAAACTCATACAGCAGGGGCCTAGGGGTTGAGTCTCAGCCCTGTAACTGCCACAGGCTGAGTTCGATCCCAGGCCAGGGAGCTGATCCACATGGCACAGCAGACCTCCTAGTACTTTGCCTAGTACTTTGTTTTTGGTGAATCCTCTTACCCTCGCACCTCTGGCCTACACTCCAGCTCTTCACACACACACACACACACACACACACACACACGCACGCACGCACGCACACACACATACAGCACTAACAGTAAGGAACAAAATTAAAGCAAAGAAACATTAAGTAGATTTTTTTTTTTTTACACTAAAGAGGGGCTGCATTGGTTTATTAAGTCAACAGTAAAGAGAAAACAGGAGATAAAGATCTTTAAAAAGGAACTTGAAAGACAACTGAAACTGGGCCTTTTTTTAAGAAGAAATAGAGTGTGCTTCTGCAAGCCCTTTGTTTTTCACATAAGGACTGACGTTGCTATCTGTCATCGTGCCCAAACTGTCCTGGGGCTCCCTCAGCGTCTTCTACACAAGGGCAGCCACAAAGTGGCCCCCGAAGTCCCTCCTTGGCCTCGAGGAGACAAATGCTGTACAAGGAACTTGAGAGAGATCGTCTAAAGGTCTTGTGTTTCATTTCTTACAACTCTAAGGGTTGTTTTGAAATCAATACATTCTACAACTCCTATGTGTCCCCTTCATAAAAAAAGAGGCAAGAACCAGTCTTAGAGACTACATTTATGTAGTAGGAGTTAGCATGTTGGAGTTAGCATGTTGACACCCACAGTGCTGTGCAGTGGGTGCACATGTGTGCCGAGGTTCCGACTTCCCTGCCTGCCCACCCGTTGCTCTCAGTGTCTGGCAGTGGCCAAGGTGGGCTCTGGCAGGGCCTGACCTTGGCACCGTCAAGCTGTGTAACTTGGGAACTGTGTTAGCATCTCTGTGCCTCTCTGTGTTCTGTCTCCAGGTGAGGGCATTGGCTGCTACTTCCTGCAGCAGCGGTGATGTGATGTGGAGGGAGGGGTGATTCGGTGAGATCATGTGTGTCAACTACTCTGCACGTCGCCCATGGCGGAGCAAACACCCAACACACCAGGAATGAAGGACCCCTGGAGCTTTGGGAGGGGCAAGGTGGGCCGGACTCTCACCTGTGTGTAGCAAGGACAGGGAAAGCATGTCCATACCTTGTTCCCAGGCAAACTAAAATCTGGAATTTGCCGTCCTTCCCAATGTTCCTGGGCGCGGTGTTGATGGCGCTGACATAGTGGCAGAAGGTTCTGCTGGATGACTTCTGGAGGAGGACGTCAGCTTCGCTGTCTAGAATCTGGTCAGTAGTTTCAAAACAAGCGACCGCTTTCTCTGGGGAAAGAAAGCAGAGTCACATCACGACACATGACACGTCACACGTAGACAGATGGGGGCCTGAGGGGATTCTGGAAAGCTTGCTAGTGATACTTGCGAGATACTGGGATAAAGAGTAGTCTGTGCCAAGTCAAGGTCATTGGTCAAGGTCATGGCTCCTGAGGGCTGCCCTCTGCCCACTTTCCTTTCTTTGCCCCCAAATCCTAAATTAGATGAAATCAGTGACGTGCCTAGGCCTTACTGACAAAACAAAGTGAGGAATCACCTCACCAAAGAAGCCAGGATTCCAGGAGCACTGCATACCAAAGTCTGCTGCTGGAGCCAGGAGAGGGGTTGCTCTAGCTAAGGAAGTGCATTTCAAATGCAGTTAAATTAAATCAGCTTAGGCATGGCTACCACATTGGACAGGCTGGAGCTGCAGCGGTGTCTGTAAAATGGAGTCTGACCTTGTTACTCCTCAGCCCCAGGCTTTCCTGACCCCCATTCAGGATAATATCCAGCCCCACAGGAGGCTGGTTCTGGCAGCCAGGCCCTTCCCTCACATCCTGCCACTCTCGATGTGCCCGGGCTCCTGGGGTCCTAGCTGGCCAGGCACCCTGCTCCCAGGCTCACCTCCATGAGGAGACCATGATGGCACCAACAGCCACCCTCCTGAGGTTGCAAACACAGCTCCACCTCCTCTGACCTTGCTTTTTTATTTTTTCACATAATACACAGGGTGGCTTGCACATGTTATGTTTTTGTGTGCTGTTTGTTCTACCCAACCTCTACCCCCTGCCCAGAATATGTTTGTCACCCACAGGAATTGTGTTTTGCTTACTTATGTGTTTGGAATTTCTATCCTGACATTTGGAGTCATGGTAGAATGCTATGGACGCTAAGTAAAAGAAGCAGCTGACTGGTGAGAATCGAGCATAGTACTTTTGGCTACTTGAACAGCACACCCCTTGTCACTAACTATCCAGTCTAGTGAGGGCCTTCATTAGGGACCACAGGGACCCTGGAGAGGAGACGTGGGCCTCATTACCTATGAAGTCCCAGATGAAGACGTTCTTGTGGAAGATGCGGGCAGACTTGAAGCCATGATGGAAGACGTGCTCCAGGGCCGCCACCAGCCCGTTCTCGCCGCACAGCAGCACGGTGAGGCTCCCCCTCTGTGAGCACAGCACAGGTGTGTCAGTCACATGGGCCTGTGACTGCACAACATCAAGAACTGGCGTGGGAGGCAGGCTGCGGGCCTCACAAAGCAAGGGAGCACCGCACTGCCTCAGGGAGCATGGTGTATGGAGCAGTCTGGACAAAGGCCCCCACAGTGGTGAGTCTAATGCCCTCTTCCTCTTTTCCATTATTTTTAAAAAAGATTTATTTATTTATGCATACAGAAATGAATACAAGCCAGAGGTAAAGGGGTGGTGAGAGGATTCACCAGGCAGAGTGGGGAGCACGACAGGCAGATCGACAAAGTACACTGCTGCGGGGAGCAGCGGGCGGGTCAGGAGAGGTCTGCTGTGGGTCATCTCGGGGGCCGGGAATAGAACTCGCACTGAAGCGGCTGTGGCCAGCTTGCAGGGCTGCGTCCTGACCTGCTGCGCCACCAGAGAGGGCCCCTCTTACCTCTTTCTCGGGCTTGTGAAAATGTTTCACGATGTTGTTAACAGCTTCCCCGATTCCCTCTTGGATCTGTCCCGCGTTGGGCTCTGAAACAATGAACAGTGGCTAGTGTTTAGGCTGGGGAAATGAACAGAACATGTAGGCAACAGCATCCCCCAGGTGGGAAGCCTCACCCAGGCAACTAGGTGGGTGTTACCAGAGGCTCCTCAAGTGAGGGGAGCCTGGGTACCTTGGGAAAGGACCCCAGAGACCTCCAGATTAAAATCCCAGCCTTGTACTTTACATGCTATATCTTTGGCCAACTGTCTTCTGAGTTCGAATTCCCTCAGCCTGAAACAGGGAAAAGACACACCCTGTGGGCCAGCAGGCAAAGAGAATGAGGTATCAAGTGTGAGTCATGAAGGGTGAGATAGGCCCCAGTCTGGGGTGAGGGGGGAGCTCACAGTACCACTCCTCAGGTATCCCACAGCCGATCCCCTCTGAGGCCTCTCCTTCATGGGCATGGACTCTGAGGCTGGGTGAGGCCATCCTGTCTAAATCAATGGGAAAATGTGGGGTACAGGAGCACCTGGCTTGAGGCGGGGGCCTCCCTCCCCGGTCAGTCCCTAGGTGAGTCTTTTCTCCTCCCGGATCCCATCTGGGCCCTGCTCCTATAGGAGAGTTCGGTGGGTGACTTGAAGAGGATTCTAAACTGTTTTGCCTTTCAAACCCCAACACAGTTGTATAAAAAAAAAAGGTGGCTGGCTAGTAAATACCATTGTCATAACACATGACAAACACAACTACATGTAGAGTCTCTGAATTCACACTCCTGGAGGAATTTATCACACAAAACATTCTTCTGGTAAAAGTCAAGTGTTTTCTCCACCAATGCCTAAAAATTGTGAAAATGGAAACTGAACCATTTTTAGCTCCCAGCCACTATTTTAGTTTTACCCTTGAGTATTTTTTCTTTTCAACCTGAGGACCTACATTGCAAGCTTTGATTTTATTCATTCCAGAACCCTGTACCCATCAGTAGTATTTTGAAACTGACTTAAATCTTCTAGTTCTCTAAATAACACCACCCATACTATGAGAAAGTACCGAGTCACCCATTTTTGAATTTCAGGTTAGTTCACACTTCCTGCTTCTTGAGTCTGGAGAGAAAATACAACCCAAAGTGGGGGGATGGGGGGGTTGTCTTTCTTCACAGGCGGCCCCCAGCCCAGGCCTGGCTCAGGGGCTTAAGGGCAATGGAGGCCATGCTGGGACAGCTCACTTATGCTTAATGTGAGGTTTCCTGACTATGCTTGACATCATAAGAATATCAGAAAATACATCCCCCTGATAAGTACAGACACTTTATCAGTAACTGAAACTTTGTTCTCCACACCACATACTTCCAAGAGACATGAGCCGATTTAACTCTTATAAGCATCCACTTAGCTATTTGAAGTCCTCAAGAAAAATAAGCTCGATGGTTGGACTGCACTAACTGGTTTACTTTCTAATTTTAAAGCAACACAATTAAGGTCTTCATACAATAAATTCACCAATTTTAAGAGTGCAATTCAATGGGCTCTGAGAGGGACAGTCAGATACCACTCAGCCATGGTGCAGTGTTTCCATCACCCAGATAGCTCCCCTGTCCTTCTGAGTCAGCTTCCTGCCCTGTTCCCAGCTCCCGACACTGTTCTATCTACAGAAGCCTTTTAAGAATTTAATAGAGATGGCGGAGCAGGGCATTTGACCTTTGGCTGCTGGGATTCACTGGTGCTGCAGTGAACCCTGGTCTGCCATTTCCATATCCTGCTGAGCAGTACAGAGCTGCTGTGAGCATCTCCACACACGTCTTTTTTTTTTTTTTAAAAGTTTTATTTATTTTTGCATAGATGAGCTGGGGGGTAGGCCAGAGGTGTGACTCTGACTCACTAGAGACAGGGTGGGGAGCAGAACAGGCAGCGGATCTACTGAAATCCACTGCTGAGGGGAGGGAGCAGTGGGTGAGACAGGAGAGGTCTGCTGCACCATGTGGTCAGCTCCCTGGCTGGTGAATCGAACTCAGGCCACAGTGGCATAATGCAGACCCAACCCCTTAGGCTTCCAGAGAGGCCCCTCCACACAAGCCTTAGTGGAGGCGTGCATGCTTGCCTCTTTCTCGGGCCAGTGTCTGCGTGTGGGTTTCAGGGTCATGTGCTGCATATGTGTACTGATACTCTTTTTTTAAAAAAGATTTATTTATTTATGCATACAAGAACTGGGGTACAGGACAGTGGTGCAGGGGTGAGAGGATTTACCAGAGACAGAGAGGGGAGAACAGGCAGATATACTGAAACACACTGCTGAAGGGAGCAGTGGGCGGGTCAGGAGAGGTCTGCCAAGCCATGTGGGTCACTTCCTGGCCGGGGATCAAACTTGTGTTGCAGTGACTGCGACAGCTTCATCGTGCTGCACTTCAACCCGTTGTGCCATCAGGGAGGGTCCTAATATCTAAACTCTTTAGGCATTTAATTACTTAAATTAAATGCCATATTTCCTCTTTATGCTCTCCCTGCCCTTTTTTTTTTTAAATTTTATTTATTTATTTTTTTTTTAAAGATTTTATTTATTTATGCATACAGAACTGGGGTACAGGCCAGAGGTGCAGGGGCGGTGAGAGGCTTCACCAGAGACAGAGTGGGGAGCAGAAAGGCAGATCGACGAGGTACACTGCTGAGGGGAGCAGCGGGCGGGTCAGGAGAGGTCTGCCACGCCATGTGGTCTCCTCTGGGGCAGGCGGGTATTGAACTCATGTGGAAGCGGCTTTAGATTCTCAGTGCTGTGCTTTAACCCGCTGCGCCACCAGGGAGGGCCCTCTCCCTGCCCTTTTAAAGTCTCCTCTCTCAAATAATTTTTCCTTTGATTTATTCTTTATAATCTCTTCATCACAGCTCATTAATTCCACAGTTTTCTGTAAAATGGCCATGTGACATCGGAAACATTGGGGCATACAGGAAGGTAAAGACCTGACGGCTTACTGGTGTTCTTTCCCGTCAGCGAGGTGACACTCAGTCTCCGGGCTGTGGTGGGTGATTTCTGCTGGGGGGGTGTCCGACACTGCTTGGCCAGGTCCTCTTCTGCTGCCGGCACCATCAGCTCTCCTATCAGAATCCTCTCCAGGCTGCCGTCATCGACACCCTTCCCTAGCCAGCGCCCACATGGGAACCTGGAGGACAGAACCTTCTGGAAAAATCACTGATATTCACTGGCTTTCTGTTGTACTGTGGGTGAAGCTCATTAGTTTAGTGCCCATGGTTTGTTATTTACTTTTTAAAAAGATTTATTTATGCAACAAGAGCTGGGATGTAGGCCAGAGGTACGGGGGTGGAGGGAGAGATGGGGTGGTGGTGAGAGGATTCCCCAGAAACAGAGCAGGGAACAGAACAGGCAGATTGACTGAAATCCATTGCTGAGGGGAGCAATGGGTGAGAGAGGAGGAGAGGTCTGCTGTGCCATAGGGGTCAGCTCCCTGGCCGGAGATTGAACTTATGCTGCAGTGGCTTCTGATAGCTTCAGAGAGAGTGCTAAGACTTAATCACCTGAGCCACCAGGGAGGCCTTGGTTTGTTATTTTAATTGCTAAAATTTTTGAACAAATAGAAAAGCAGAGAGAAGAACAAATCACACAGTCGTCTCCTAGGCCATATTTCACTTTCATATTTGGCTGATTTATCTTAAAGTAAATCACATGCAGCAGGACACCTCACCTCTGACAATACACCTCAGTTTAATTCTGGAAAATAAAGACATTCTCTCTCATATAGACTGAAATGGCCACACGCAACCAAATTAAAGTGATTTGTTAGTATTTTCTAATACATAGGCTGTATCAAAATTCTGTGGGATAGTTCTGGGAAAGGTATTTTCAAACTGGAAGATAGGAGTTAAGTTACCGGAGAGAAGAGGAGAGTTCCCACAGGAGGCTGGTTGCGGCAGGACAAAAGATCCTCTCCTCCCACTGAAATCACCCTGAGCTGCTTTTTGACCAGTTACACCAACCTTCCTCAACACTGTGTCCCAAGCATTAACAGTAAACACAGTCTGTTTCATACAAGCGTTTCTGGGGTATTTTAGATTACATAAACAGACACCAAGCAATATGCAAAAATGAAACTAAAACGCAGGAGGCAATAGGAAGGCTTTAGAAAGAAAACAACTCTGAATCCTCTCCTGATCTAGAAAACTCAGAGGAAACATCCTGGACTCCCAAGCCCATTTGCTTACCTGTACGTGTGTCCTGTGATTTCATTCCTGACCATGACACAGTCCAGGAGCCATTTGGCCAGCAGCCCTGAGTTATCGTGACCAATCTGGACGGTGGTCAGCTTCCCCAGGTTCTGGCACTGCAAGAAGAGGACCACAGGCTACTCAGAACCTGGCCCAGGACGTCACCTCTGGGCTGTTCCCGGCACTTGGTTCCACTGAATCAACAATGGCCCGGCACGGGAGAGGGGCTTGGGCAGTGTAGCATTAGGACAGGAGGCTCAGGCAGACCAGCCCTCCTGGAGGGGCTGGGGGATGCTGCCCATCCAAGGGGCACATGGCAGGACACCAGGCCAGAGCTGTGACAAGACTAGAGGGACGAGGTGGGAGGAACAATTTTGACTGGAGAACCCAGAAACTTCAGAGACGGGGCTTTGTGTCTAAAGAATGAGAAGAGTTTCATGAAGTAGGAGACGGAGGCATCTCAGTTCTGTCACAGAGAAGGCAGGAAAATCACTACAGGTGTCCAAAGTCTCTGACAGGTACTCCAACAAAACACTGAGGCTGAAGTGACGTGAACCCGCACCTCCCAGAGGTCCCTGAGGCCATCATAAAGAAGCACACACCAGTGTGCTTCCTGGGTCTCTGTGGCCAAGTACAAAAGAAAATGGTGGTAAGACAAACGTCAACTAAATTCCGACTTGAATTCCAAGAAGAGATCACAGGCCCCAGCTGACAATGAACAGCTGGAGCATCTGGGCCACAGGTTCGTAAAGCCTCGGCTCTGCTGTGTTGGGAAGTTGGCTCAGGATCCAGGTGAGAGGGACACGGCACTCTGACGCAGCAGTGAGATCAGGAGCAGGCAGGTGTGATGGGGCCTGGGGCTGGTAGTGTGGGGCCTGGGACACAGCTCATGCTCCATCCCTGCCTGGAGGCGGAGAGAAGCCACAGCTTCCATCTCTTTAGAGGGCTGTGGGCAGGTGTGGGTACAATGGGCTTTGAGGGTGATGTCTGTCAGTGGGGCACTTGAGCGGTATGGCTATTCCTGCACACCAGGAACACCTGCAAACACTTCGCCGGGGAGATGAGAGCTAGGATATGGGACACGGAGGCCATTTTACAAACATCTCCATGTGGCCTAATGGTGAGCATCGAGGTCAGCTCTGCTGGCTAGGTCTTTCTGCCCAGGTCCAGGCAGGCGCATTGTACACTGGGAAGAGATCACTGTGGGGAGAACATTTACTAGCCATGCTGGGTGCTGGGAAGCAGGGTATGGCCCCTGGCAAAGCCCAGAAGTGCACCATCCCTTGAGGAGAAACTAGGCTTGACACAGGGAACAGTCACAACAAAAATAAAAGCAAGGCACGTTAGCAGGTGTGACCCCAAACTGCATAACCACTCACAGGACCCCCTTTCATCCTATTAGACGCCGGGGAAACAAGGAGGCGACACTGGAGTTCTGGATGGACAGACAGGGGCTTCCTGCTGGGACAGGCTGACCTACCTCAAAGGTCATCTCCAGCAGGCTTTTGGGGATCTGCATGACGCCCGTGTCCCCGAGCTCCCCTGAGACGCAGATCCAAGGGTTGGATGTGATGATGGCGTTGCTCAGCTTCTTGATGGGGATGACCACTGACCTGTATGGAATCACTGGGAGGAAAGACTGATGTCAGCCACAGCAGACTGTCCCATGACCAACCTCGCCCAGGAACGTTTCTGTCAACTCTCAGGGAATGTGCACTTTGTGAGGATCAAGAGGGGTGATCACAGGCTCTCCCGTTGGGGCTGCTTACAAAGCTGCAGGCCTGAGCTGCCATGAGTCTCCACCACCCGCAGGCACAGGCCAAGGTGGGGAACCTCTCTGGGTTCACAGAACTTTTCGCTGCTTTGCCGGTTTATCAGGTTTGTCCCACAGTCTACAACCAGTGACAAGTTACTGGTGCAGGTTCCTAAGGAGAGTGGGGACGGCCCACTGGCCAGGAGGGTCCCCCGGCTGAGCTCTAAGCACGGCAACCTCCCTCCGCACCCTCCCTCCGCACCGTGGAGCGCACCCCCGGCACCCAGTTGCGGAGGAAACCCGGAGCTCAGACGCGGGGTTGGAAAGCTACCGGGGCGAAGGAGCTGCAGGGCGCCCGAAGGCGCGGCCCGCCACACGCCCACCACGAGATGTCGCTGTGCCAGCCGCATCCGGGCGGGGAGGAAGCGCAGCCGGCGGCCAGAGGCGTCTCTTTGGATAATGCGACACCCCCACACTAGCACCCCGCACTCCATTAGAGGCGTCCTCGCGTTCCTAAAGCAGGTAGAATCACGCCCCTCCCGGAGACGGGGAGCAGCCCTCCCTGCAGGGGAGTAGGGGTGGAAGCGCGAATGACCCGGCCAGGGGCCCGGGGACTGGGGCAGGGCGGCCAAGGGGCGGGTGTGCCGGCCTCGGTCTGCGCCGTGTCTACACTGACGCCGCGTCTACACAGACGCCGCTTCTACACAGAAGCCGCTGCTCCCTTTCTGTGTTGGCTGAGGAACACGGCAGGGCAGTATCAGAATTAAATGTCTTTGAAACTGGGAGCAGAGAGGTCAGTATTTGAGGCATCAGATGCTTCTTTTGTCTCACTGATGGGCCTAGGAGAGCTGCAGAAATGCCCTTGATGGCCAAAGAGGTGGGGCACCATGCGCATCAGAGATTGCACATCCCCACAACTCAGGGCACTTCCCCCACAGTTCACAGTGGGGAGAGGGGATAGACACCCTGTCACAGAAGAAACTGAGCCCCAAGAGGAGCCAGGAGCCCGGCCCACCTCTTAGAGGCCTCCTGGAGGCTGCAGGAGCCAAGAAGCCCCAGGAATGGGCAGATGTTACTGGCTGGCCCAGGAGCATCTGGCCCCCTTTCCTGGTGCCTCCACTAGAGATGAGACAGCCCCCAAGGGCACAGTCCCGCCTAGGGGCAGGAGAGGGGTCACAGCGACTTTGTCTCAAGACCTGTTTGGGCAGCACAGAGCTTGTCTCTCCACCCTAACCCCTTCCCCTTCCTCCTTCCGGCTGGAAGGTGGCCTGAGAACAGCCATCTGTGGGGAGGGCCACTAGGCTGTTGGGACGATTTCTCATACTGGAGACTAAAACTACGAAGTTGCTTAAGCCATGCTCTAAGTTCCTGTGCCTGCAGCTGAAGATTAACTCCCACTGGTGCAAGCAGGACTTCTCTGCAGCGGGGAGGGAGGCTCGGTGGTATCAAGAGGCAGTGACGCAATCACCAGCTCCAGTGAAGCCGTCAACCACAATCTGCCTCCACTCAACAGCCCCCCAGACCTGCAGTGTCTGGAAGAGGTTTCCCCTGCCGCTCCCTCCTCAATTATACAGGGTTATTGTTATCATAGAGGGATGCCTGGAGTTCATGCATTTCAGACAAGATGTTGGAATACTTGTTCAAAACATTCCTTTTCACATGCACCCCATTTCCCACCTCAGACACAGGTTTCTGGGAGCACAGAGGATGCTGCTCCTGGGAGCACACCTGGGTCAAGTTTGGGGATGGTGGAGTGGGTGGAGGGAGAAGCTGAGTGAGTTCTGAGACAGGAGAGGCCTCCCTCCAGGGGCTGAGGACACAACCTCCATTGCTACCAAGATGGCGTCTCACTTTAAGAAACATTTGCTCCTCTTTTATCCAGCCCTAGCTGACCCCTACCCCCGCCAGTGGCTCCCATCTGCCTCCCCCACCCCGACTTACTGATGGTGGTGAACACACTGGTGAAGCAGAAGTAGTCCACGGCATTGAGTGAAAGAAGGTGATAGAGGAACTGCTCTCTTTCCTCCTCGCAACGCAGAAAAGCATAGCGTTTGTAGAGCTTCCTGGAGGGCAGGCAAGCAGACAAACTGGTCATGGTCTTAAGAGGTCTTAGTTTGACAGACAAAATGGACTCATGGGTCTGTTTGTTTTTCTTTTAATGACTAGCTAGGTTTAAAAAAAAAATGTTCTTGCTAATTGTCTCCTCTCCAGGTTAAAGTCTCTGCTCAGTCTACATGGAGGTGTTTCTTTTCGGTGGGGAAGACCCTGTACACTTGTTCACTCAAACATTTATGTACAAGTAAAACTACATGCTGGTATACCCACAAATTGAATACTGTGGCACCACTGAAGATACAGCTCTGGAAGTGTTTTAACAATAGCAGAACTGCTAGAAGTAAGAAGCAAGTGTACAGTGCGCAGCTGGAGCCTGTTTCCAAAGTATTTAGTCACTTGTGCATTTAACCCTCATGACTCATCTGTGTGCTAAGTCTACTTGTTCCTCTGCTCACCAAGGGGTTTAGTACTCATCTAAGTGGTGATGCCAGGGTGGACTGGGACACAGGCACCCAGACTCCAGAGCCTAAATCCTGCGACAGAGTGAAATGTCTGTGATATAAAAGTAAGTTTAGAAAAGAAGGACACCAAATCGCAAACATACTATAATCTTAACTAAGCAAATAGGCACAAAGGGAAGTGCAGAAGAAACCTCGATGCAGTGGGATTCTAAGTGATGATTATTCACTTCGTACTTTGGCCACAAATGACTGATAACGAGGGGTGGGGGGGGTAGTATGTTTCAAAAGAACAGGGTCAGGGTCACATAGCATTCTGTATCAAACCCATCCTTTGGATATCAGGGATCAGCATCCCTGCAGGGAGTGAGAGACCCCAGCACACGTCACAACCAGAACCGGTCACCTGTAGGGGTTCCAGCAGACCGCAGCGGGGAGGGCTTGGATAAATTCCCTGCTGCCCTGGACTCCACAGGGCTCAAGGTCCTCAGCCTTCAGATTCATGCTAATGAACCTCTGGTTTAGGCATCTCCTTCAAGAGGGTTTCTTGATAAAGGGCAGCTATCAAGACAGCTACGGGGGTCTGTGCATAGGATGGGGGTGCAGGAGCCAGCAAATGCTTCTAGGAGTGGCGGGCCAGCTCCCTCCAGCACACGGGGCTAACACAGAAGCATGTGCAACGATGAGCTCTTACTTGGTGAGCAGCTGGTTGGAGAGCAACTGTTTGAGGTGCTGGGACAGGAGCTTCTTTTCCAGAGATAGCCGTATCCAGGCCCGCGCACGCCCCACATCAGTCTTGATCTCGCTCATGCTCTGGATGTGCCTAAAGAAGAACGAAAGCACACAGAGCTCAAGGACCCAGTTGGCCTCACACTGGAAGTTCTATGTGCAGAGGGGACTTATGTGACTAAGCCCAACGTGTCCCCCCCAAGTCTGGATGCAGCCCCAGAGGCCCTGCAGTCCCACAGAGGGGTGACCTCCCCCAGCCAAGCCACTGTTTGCTAGAAGCTGCAGTTCTGCTCTCTCCTGCCTATGGACTGTTCACTCTGCACAGCAACAGGGAGCTCCCTGTTGAATGGACCCGACCCTGTGTCCAGATGTTGGTTCACAGTTCATCGTGAGAAGCCAGTAAGACCTTTAAGGTCTGCTCAGCTGCACGTTGCTCTTGCACAGTATTATTCTGGAGGTGCCACCCCCTTCTGCTTTCTGCCAAGCACTGTGCCCGCCACCCACCTGCTTGGGGTTGTTCCCCTTCTACTACCTAGAATTAGCTCTGAGTACCACCAGGCCATGAGCCTGATCCAAGCTGAGTACTGAGGACATCTCTCAGAATCTGGAAAGCAGCTCCCAGAAGACCTAGTCAGCATCTTCTGGACACGTAAACAGAGAAAGCCTGTAGGAGCCAGCGACAAGACCAACTCCATCCACCCAACCCCAGGGGTATCCTGGTTATGGCCCATAAAGCTCCCCTGGTGGTAAGGCTGGCTGGAAAGGGCTTCTGTCCCTAGACTAAATGACTTCCAGGATTGGCAGCACCTGGATCTGAATCCACATTTCTGGAGTCCAACAACGGTGTTGATTCACCATATTGCCAATGAAATCCAACAATATTTAAGAGAGAAATTACAACAACTCATTTTAGTTTCAGCTCACATTTGGTATAGTCACTGAAATTCGGTACAGTCAAAATAGTTCTCTCTTGAGTGAGCATGATCATCCCAACTATGTAATTTTTGGCATAGTATACACAGGATAGCCACACATACACTTATAACCAAGGTTAAGTGACCAGCCAACCCACCCTCAGCGGAGTATCCACCGTCTGTGTGTAAACAGACTGTGGCTGGGATTTACTCAGACACCTTGCGTGTACATTTTCAGAATCCCAGTCCCCAAGGATGTACCCACAGCCCCCAAGATCATGGCTTGATTGCCTGTACCCCTTGTCATCAATTACATGTCATCACTGGGAATAAAAGCCCCTGAATGGCTAGCTGGTGGGTATGGACATGACCAGGAAGGGAGTGGGAAGTGGCACTGAGGTGACACGTGACAGAGCTCTGCTTTTATATGTAATCAGAGCAGTTATTCATTGGCCCAGCCTTGTTCTTAGAACAACAAATTAACTCGGTAGCTCACAGTTTGGTGATACAGGGTGTTTGATAGAGTCTGGGATGGCCCATATGTGTGTCTGTCTGGCCCTCTGCCAGCTGCCACACACTGGAGCCAGGAATTGTGACAACCCTGGCACTCGAGTCCTTAAGCTGCCATGTCTCAGAGATGAACTTGGGAAGACACAAGAGTTGGGGGCAGGGGGCATGCAGGGGCATGTACCTAGCTGTTGAATTGTCTCCTGTAACATGCTTAACATGGTAAATTTTGTTGACCTGCTTCTTTTTTTTTCACAAGAGCCATGGTACAACAGAGGGAGAGAGGGCGGGAATTGTGAAGCAGCTGGACTTACAGGAATGTTGCAAGACTCTGGGGGAGAGTCCTTGCATGCCAGCCTCCTGGAGGTTAACAGCTTACACAGCCAAACTGAGACATCAGCACTGGTTAGTCTCCTGGGTGAACTGCATGCCCAGCTCATCACTGCCCCTACCATGTCCTTCTCCTGGCCCAGGACATGACCCTGCACCTGCTTGTCCTCCCCTTATTCTCCAGTCCATGAGCAGTCTTTCTGTCTTGAGACCTTTCAAGAGTAGCAGTCTATTATTAATAGAAAAAGTTTGTCTTAGAATTAAATTTCCAAAGAAAGGAGATGTAGGCCCAGAATTGTATGAAAATACTAAAGGATTATCACCTCAGCTCAGAACCCACATTAAGCTACAAACCAGAACAGCTGGACTTCCTTGCTGCCTTCTCAAGTATGGATGGTGGGTGTGCACTGCTGAGACTCCTGCAGCAGCTAGGCAGCCCTCCGGTGCATCAGGTCAGGGGAGTGTGAGGCTGAGGGCTCTCCTCACCACAGGCTTTGACCTTGGCCATGTGGGGTCTGTGGGGTTTCGCCACTGTTTTTTTTCTCCTTTGTAGTTAACAAATTCTTGGAGGAGACACTTTGAGACTAAGTAGATATCCTGGTTACAAGTTAAACTTTCAACTACAAGTTTCTCTATTTTGTTCTTCCACATTTATTATCCAAAGGAAGAAAGCTTCCTTTGGAAAGTGCTGTCCCAGCATGCCCATTTATCTAGGTGGGTCTCTATAGAGCATGAAGCCTCATGGGATCTTGATTCTGTGGCCTGTGCTCCAACTCCGCAGGGCTCATCATGTGGCTCTGGTCCTGGGCCCCCAGGCTGCTGCCTGGTGTGTGAGCCTCTCCTTCTCTGAGATGCCCCAGACTCACCCGACATGTCCTCTCATCAGCCTGGGGCTGCTCCTTTTCATAGGAATCCTGGTGGGTGTCCCTGAGATGCCATTCAGAAGGCACTCTGGGTGCCCCGTGTGCTGGCTGCTGTTGGGGTATAACTATTTCTAGGTGCTCTGGGTAGAGAGATGGAAACTACTAATGACTCCAGGGCAGGAATAGCAGCAGGAGACCCAGCATTTACAGACTCTGAATCAGGAGTCAGGCACTGAAAACAGTGCTGGGCTAACTCCCTGAATGCCCACAACAGCCCTATGAGCCAGACAGCTGTTTCTATCTCTGAGAGACAGGGAACCGGCACAGAGGGGCTGGACAATGGCTCAGGTCACACCCTGGCAGGGGCCAAGCCAGAGGTGGCCCCACTGCACTGAGAGCTATGGCCCCTGCATGGGAAACTTTTCAGCTGGAGGTTCTGACAAATCAAACAGCAGCTCGTAATAAATAGCAAGGCACACCATAAAGGTTCTAGCAGTCATTTTAAACCCACACACCTTAGGAGTGTACACAGATGCTAAAAAAGCCTCTGTCTTCACCCATGAATCTGTTTTACATGCTTTCTCTAATTATTTGTAAGACTAGTGATTGCAAGCAATCATTTCTTAGATTTGCTTTTGTTTCAGACAAAATCTAACATTCCTGCCAAGAGACCTGCAAACTCCTTGGTGTGTATCCATGGACAGCAGGTATTTCAGGAGTTTTTACGAAACTGTGCAACAAAAGAAATTGTAAAATCGTTTAGGGAGGCTTTAAAACTCTTCGGTTGCATTGTCACTTTGGATGTCGTGTTGGGGAAAAAATAGTATCGTGTACAAGCAACATAAGTTAAACTATAAAGAATGCTTTCTCCAGAATATCCAAGCAAAAAAGAAAAGAGAAACACACACAGTCACGTAAGTCTACGTCAATAATGTCTCCGAGATGTCGGAGCGGCCCGTGACTACCTCATGTCCTGGATGAGAGAGACCCTCAACGTCGGCAACACGGCTCCTGAGTCCGATTTCCTTCTTTCTGGTCCAAGGGCCACTATGTACAAAAAAGTCAACAAAGTATTAGAAAAACAACAGTGAGAACTTAAATTCTGTGACACATTCTGGTTGATACTTTGGAGGTAACTTTGATAAGGACAAAATTTAAAGACAATATAAAAGCTCAAATTCTTTTCCCAGGGATGTCACTATTTTATGAATGCCATGACCCCACTATTTTCTTTCTTGTTCATCCAGGATGATATCTGGTAATTTAAAAAGAACCAGAAAAGCCCACTTAGCAAACAAGGTGGTGTGTGCAAATTCTGGCCAGGAGGGCCAGTTAGCTTCCAAAGTTCCTCACTCTGACAGCACATGATAAGTACATGAACACAGTGTCTGTAAGTTAAGCAACAGAGGGCACTGAGCTGACTTCTGGGTGTGTGATTCTCAACCGTATTGTATGGTACTATTTTCCCCCAACACAGTTCCCCTAAACTCTGCAAGGGTTTAAGAAGAATCTAGGAGCTCAGGCTCTGAGGTCTGACAGGTTTCTATGTCAAGTTTAGAATCCAAACTACAAACTGTGCTGAGTGGGTAATCTCAGTCCATCTGAGGGGCAGAGTGGGACAAAGCTCTAAGCCGAAGAGCTGAAATGCAGCAGCTGTCAAGGAGGTTCCCTGGGATTTTGAGCCCCTTGTCTCCACTTACCCATTTTTTAAAAAGATGTATTTATTTATGCACACAAGAACTGGGGTACAGGTCAGAGGTGCGGGGGGGGGCGGTGAAAGGAATCCTCAGAGACAGAGTGGGGAACCGAACAGCATATCAACTGATATACACTGCTGAGGGGAGCAGTGGGTGAGGCAGGAGAAGTCTGCAGTGCCATGGGGGTCAGTTGATAAAGTAAGTTACCAAAGTAAGTAACCAAACACACTCATACAGCTCAGAGTTAGGATCCTGGGTTTTGCTGTCTATTTAGGGCCGCCCTTCTTGGGGGACCAGCACAAGACTCCCGAGCACAAGCACAGCTGAAGTTGACCTGGAGGAAGATACATTCTGGGGTCAGGACTCACACTGGGGGAAGCTCTGGCTGCCTTCAGCAGGGGAATGAGACTGCCAGGCCAGCCTCAGGGCAGGACCTGGCACTGGTGGGACCAGGGGGGGAGGCAGGCAGGTCCACATGGGGCAGAGGTGGCTGGAGTCTCTGCTGTCTGCTAAGCATTGCCCTGATCCACAGACTGTTTTAAAAAGTAAAATTTATCAAAACAAAACAGAGGTAGTGTACCCTGCTGTGGTTTTCCTGCTAAGACAGACCCTTCCTGTTCTGGCTTCTCTGAGCACCCCTGTAGAGTCAAGGTTCTCGAATTGTTCCTTTTCCTGGAAATGCAGGCTGTTTACCACCACCAATAAGGAAGCTGAACAGCCGGCAAACAAAAATGTATTGGTGGGGAGACCCAGTTTTGAAAGCAAAAAAAGTCAACGAACTGCTAGTTTCTCTATAATTAGAACACATTCTTTCTCAATTATGCAAGATTTTATTTTCAAATTAATGTTTTTATATATACTTCACACCGTCATGTTTTTAAGACCAACTTCCTGGGCTGCATCATCAAAGGTGTTAAAGCAGTATTTATAAAATTCACCCCTCCCAACAGACAATACGTTTGATTTCAGAAGTCACATTGTTTATGGTAACTCTACTTAGGATCCAGAAGACACTTCACCGTGTGTGGGCTGACACCACCAGCCCGTCAGCTCATGCCGGTACAGGTGAGGCCTGACACCTGTGTTTCCCGAGGTTGGTGGGGGAAGAGGCGTGGCACGGGCTGGGGTCTAGTCTCCAGTAGGGCCACTGACACTGACCACGACCCTGTGGCTGTCCCCCAGCAGCAGCCCTCATGTGCCTCACTCGGCAGTTCTATGGCCTGCCTGCACTGAGCTTGCTCCCACATCTGTGCCACCAAGGGCTGCTTCTTCCTAGCAACTAATGGCTCCCAGTGAAAGAAAGCCGCATGGTCATAGTTTTATGGTCTGAGCAGGCACACGTGATCATAGGTGATGGTTTCGGGACACATGCCAAGGCCTTTTATATTTTTCAGTGGGAAAGGGGGAAGAGGAGATAAGACATAGAAAATGCTTTAAAACTTGAACTGAAGCGTTATCAATATAGCCACACCCTGACACATCAAAACATTGACACTCTGTTCACAGGGGCTCTCGGCAATGACTATCGAATTCAAGATTACAAGAACTGTAAACTGGTTAAGCGCCACAGTGGGGCAGGGTGCCCCCTAGGGGCAGTGGGGGGAGTGCAACCAGGCTGCTCTGTGTGTGCAACACATTTATTTCTAAAATAGGTAAGAAATATTTATTCTTATGTGGGTTGGCTTAGGA